AGCGCCGCCGCGCTTCCCAAGCGGCGCACTATCCAGTGCGCCACCGGGCCGGCCCCAAGAGGACATCTTTTATCATCACCAAAAGTCATCTGATACTCATTGCACACACATACACAGGTTTCAGGGCTAAGTAGAGCTTTTTAAAAAAAGTTGGAAAATGCTGTATTGAAGAAATAGAAAGCAAGAAAAAAGTTCTCCCACTCCCACTGCTTGACCTGAGTAGCCTTAAATTTTTTTAAAAAATACAATTTATTTTTTTATTTTTATTTATTTATTTTTTTGTTTGTCTTTTTCCGTGTCCGGCAACGGATCGCAACCCTCAGTGTTGCCCCCGTACCGGACCGGGGACCGGCAACGGGATCGCAACCCTCGGCGTTGCTCCCGCGCCTCGCTCAGCCAGTGAGCGGGAACCGGTCCGTATGTGGGATCCGAACCCTCGGGCGGGAGCGCCACCGTGCTTCCCAAGCGGCGCACTATCCAGTGCGCCACCGGGCCGGCCCCAAAAAATACAATTTAAAAAAGAAAAAATCCTCATAATTTCAAAATCAATTTCTGCTAAATAGTAATGATCAGAAAGAAAATATTTTATTGGAGGAGGAATATGTACCAAGTTTAGTTACTAGAAGTAGAATCTGTTAAGTCAGCGAAATCAGGGGAGGCTCTTGGAGAAAAACAATCATAAGTAGGAGAAAGAGAATGCACAGTTTTTATTTCCACAACTAAGAGAATAAAATGAGCCAATTATAGCAGAGGGCCCAACTGAGATGTTACTTGCACATTCTCCACTCGGGGTTGCCTTATGAGCTCTCCTCATGTTAATAATAATGTGGTTTAAAAAAAAAAAAAAAACAAGTATGTGCAACAAAGTAAATAAGGTGAAGCAATTCACAGTCCACCTAGCTCCACCTTATGGAATGTCTGAGAAGGTGTTTGGGAGACATTAGGCAAAGGATGTGATCATAAGTGAATAGACTTTGAGTTATCTTCTGATATGGCAGCTTTTGTGAATTGTACTAATTGTCTGATCTGGTTGCTATCTGTACTTTGTAGTTTCATGAAGAGACTGAATCACATGGGGCCCCAGCTTTTAACTGGATTACATGTATCCTTGCTTCTGTTTCTGCTCCCAATTCCTCTGTGGTTGTTTTCTTCTTTACATGCTTGCTTTCTCTTTTGCTTTAGTTTATTGTCCAAGTGTTTATTGTCTAAGTTACCACAGTGACAAGGTTGCATACTGAAGCAAAAGTCATCATAATATGGATATGTTTACTAGTGCGCTAATTATAAAATTAGGCCTTGCACAAACATTACTATTTGTTTAATTCTAGGATCTACCCTGCCCCATGGTCAACATCTTGATATCAGTGTCTTGCTGATGGTCAAATATTGTTGACATTTGATAGTATAAGCAAACAGTAAAAATTAATTGCATGGTGAAATTGTGGTCTTTACAAGAAATGTAAGATTTTAAGGAGTTGATAAATGTTAAAAAATTGCTTGAATCACTTACAAAGCCATTAACAAATGAGGATCTAGAAATTTTGCATCAGTTAGCAATTAAAGAGAAAGTCAACAAAAGATGACACATAGATCCTTCTAGATACAATGATGATAATATTGTAGGTCAAAGAGAAGTCCTTAGAAAACCTGTGAAGCCCTAAAATAGCTTTGCAAAAGTAACTGCAAAAACCAATGATGTCTTACAGCACTCTCACTGAATTTGTCTGAAAAATTGCAACACCATAAAAAAAAAAATCAATATTTGATTCCTTTATTCCAAGGATTAGAAAAAGGTTGTGATTATAACCTAAATTTTGTTAAATAAGATTTTTAAAATGTATAATTTTTTGTTTTAGCTTCATTTAAGAAATAAAGTTCTAATCATAACCTTTTATTTTCACTAATAAGTATGATTTTTTTTTTTTTTTCAGTTTTGTCTTTTTTCGTGACCGGCAACGGATCGCAACCCTCAGTGTCGCGCCCGTACCGGACCAGGACTGGCAACGGGATCGCAACCC